CATGAATCTGTGTGTGTGTTCGTGTGTGTCTGTGTATGCATGTACATGTGTCTGTGTGTATGTACATGTGTGTATCTGTACATCTGTCTGCATTTATGTACATGTGTGTGTGTGTACGTGTGTGTGTGCGTGTACATGTGCCTGTGTGCGTGTACATTTGTGTGTGCATGTACATGTGTGTGTATGTACGTACATGTGTCTGTGTGTACATGTGTCTGTGTGTATGTACATGTGTCTGTGTGTATGTACATGTGTCTGTGCGTGTGTATTTCTGTGTATGTACATGTGTCTGTGTGTATGTACATGTATGTGTGTCTGTACGTGCCTGTGTGTGCATACATGTGTCTTTATGTGTGTGTGTGTGTGTGTGTGTGTGTACATGTATCTCTGTGTGTGTGTGTACATGTTTCTGTGTGTGTGTATGTACATGTCGCTGTGTGTGTACAGGTGTCTCTGTTTGTGTATGTACATGTGTCTGTATGGAAACCTACATGTATGGATGGTTTGGTTAGGTTCAGGATTATGTGGTTATTATGGGTGGTAGAGTATGGGACATTTGAGGTACTGCTGGGTTGGATAATAGGTAGGATATGCTTGGTAGAGTTATGGTTTTGTGAGTGAAAGATTATGGGGGGTTATGGTTGTATGCGGTGCATGGTCTAAGTATCATGGAGTGTTTAGGGGGACATTGGAGGCCCTGATGTAATGTGAGGGGACTCTGGGGACACTGATGTAATGTGAGGGGACTCTGGGGACCTTGATGTAATGTGGGTAAAATTTAACAGTGTCATTTCATGAAATAATTTACGAGGGTGTGTTTAGGGGCAGAATTAGGGGTGTAGCAGGGTAGAGGTTGGGTGGGGCAATTAGTGGCGAGTAAATCTTAAGGCCTGGCTAGTAGCTCAGGACTTGAAATTTTAAGCATATATGTTTTTTTTTTATTCCACTTATTACACTATACCTGGTTTCCCCTGCAAAAATATTCTTCACTTAATTCACGATTCAGATGGAATGAAGGATTATCTCATTATGAAGGTTCCGGCTCTTTTCATTTGCAAACGTGTACAGTAGAAAAGGACAAAACCTCTGTGGAATTCATATCATTTGTAATCATCTTAGCTAAGACACTAATGAACCTCATTCCGCTGCTTGAGATTCTAATTTACTAATCAGTTTATGTTTCCCAGAAAAGTTGTGTACTGTCTTCCGGGGTTCTGCACGGTAAAAAATCTGCACAGTAGGCTTCCAAAAACATGTTTTCTTCAATGAGATGTAATTATGTTGTTAAGATTTTCTTCTTTGTATTACATGCTTTGAATGTATGTGCATTATATGCTTTTAATGTATGTGCCTACACGTACTTTTCAGATGATTTTACAGCTTCCCGGGAGCCATGAATCCTGGGGTTCTCTAATAGGCAGATACTGACAAGAAATCAAAGGCTGGCCAACATTTGTTGCCTCCTGTGCCCGACTACTGGTTATTGAAACTATCCATTATGTTTAAAAAAACTTGTATTTTTCTCATGCAATGCACAGCAACAAGCCAGCTTTAATAGCCTACTTCCAAGCTGCATACTCACCTTTCCTTTGCTCCCCCTCTGCCAATCAGTTGTAGGAGCAAGGAAAGTGAGGAACATGTAAGCTCCAAGCAGCTCCAATTGGAGATTTCACTGGAGTGGGGACTCACAATATCCTCAGTTGACAGCACTGAACCAATCACCAGCACAGTCACATTAGAAAAAAAAACAAAAAGGGGAGTATATTACATGCTCCATTATGCATGGAAATATATTGGGGGTGGAATGAAGGGATAGGGGAGCAAAGGAAAGGTATGTGCTTTGCTTTAACTAGCAGCAGTGAAGAAATCTGCACTGCACTGTACATACTTTTTAAATATATACCTTGAATTCCACTTTATTTTCTGCTACAGGGGCATGACCTTAGTTTCATTGCTGAACACCTACACCATGATTAACAGTGATTGCACCACATGTGAGATATCGTCATGAATGTCACAGTGAGCACAAAAATTCTAGTGCCAGAGCTCCAGAGTCATTGTAAACTGGTAACTTGCAAAGGCATTTAAAACCTCACCTATGGATAATTTATTGTACAGACATTTGTCACCACTCCATGGGCATGTGCAATTTTCAAGTATGGCATGCTAGGTATCTATTTACATGGTGTAACACGGGGTAGGCAACCTTTCAGAGGTTGAGGTCTACCTGGACAACATGGAGTAAAGCAAAGATCCCCTGAGGGGGGGTTCTTGGTGGCGCCCTTAAAAAAAAAAAAGTGGGACAGTAGTGTCCTCTGTCCCACTCTACATCACCCCCCTCTGTAGTGTCTTGTACCCCCCAATGCAGTGTCCTCTGCCCCCTTTTCATCTCCCCCCACTGTAGTGTCCTCTGCCCCCTCCCCTCCACAGTAATGTCCTGTACCCCCAATGCTGTTTCCTTTATCCCCCACAGTAGTGTCCTGTACCCCCCCCCCCCAAAGCAGTGTTCTCTGCCCCCCTTCACACCACATCCCACGCACTGTCATATCCTCTGCCCCCTCCCCCCCCAGTAGTTTCCTGTATCCCCCCCCCCCCCCTAAACCAGTGTCTTCTGCCCCCGTTCACATCACCCCCCCACTATGTAATGTCTCTGCCCCCCACAAAGTGCCCTCTGACTCCCCATCCCACAAAGCAGTGTCCCCTGTCCTTTTCTCATCAAAATCCTCCCCACTGTAGTTTACTGTGTACCCCCCTTCCACAGAGTCGCCTAAGCCCCCCCCCCCCCATAGAGTCTCCTGTGTCCTCTCTCCCACAGTGTCTCCTGTGTCCCCCCTCCCTCAGTGTCTCCAAAGCCCCCCCCTCTCACAGTGTCTCCCTCCCACAGTGTCTCCTGTGTCCCCCCTCCCACAGTGTCTCCTAAGCCCCCCTTCCCACAGTGTCTCCTGTGTGCCTTCTTCCACAGTGTCTCCTAAGCATCCCCTCCCATACTGTCTCCTGTGTCCCCCCTCCCACAGTGTCTCCGGTGTTCTTCCTCCCACAGTCTCTCCTGTGTCCCCCCCCCCACAGAGTCTCCTGTGTCCATCTTCCCGCAGTGTCTCCCCTTCCACAGTGTCTACTAAGCCCCCCCATAGTGTCTCCTGTGTCCCCCCCTCCCACGTTGTCTCCTAAGCGCCCCCAACCACAGTGTCTCCTGTGTCCCCCCTTCCACAGTGTCTCATGTGTCCCCCCTCCCACAGTGTCTCTGAGCCCCCGTTCTCCAATAGTGTCTCCTGTGTGCCCCCTTCCACAGTGTCTCCTAACCCCCCCACCTCCCATAGTGTCTCCTGTCCCCCCCTCCCACAGTGTCTCCTGTGTTCTTCCTCCCACAGTCTCTCCTGTGCCCCCCCCCCCCCCCCCACAGAGTCTCCTGTGTCCAACTTTCCGCAGTGTCTCCTGTGTTCTTCCTCCCACAGTCTCTCCTGTGCCCCCCCCCCCACAGAGTCTCCTGTGTCCAACTTTCCGCAGTGTCTCCTGTGTTCTTCCTCCCACAGTCTCTCCTGTGTCCCCCCTCCCACAGTGTCTCCTAAGCCCCCCCACCCATAGAGTCTCCTAAGACCCCCCCCCCCCACAGTCTCCTGTGTCCCCATCTCACAGTGTCTTCCTGTGTTCCCCCTCCCACAGTATCTCCTATGTCCCCCTTCCACAATGTCTCCTGTGTCCCCCTTCTCACAGTGTCTCCTGTGTCCCCCTTATCACAGTGTTTCCTGTGTCCCCTCTCCCACAGTGTCTCCTAAGCCCACCCCTCCCATAGTGTCTCCTGTGTCCTCCCTCCCACAGAGTCTCCTGTGTTCCCCCTCCCACAGTGTCTCCTGAGCTCCCCTCCCACAGTCTCTCCTGTGTCCCCCCCCTCCCACAGTGTCTCCTGTGTCCCCCCTCCCACAGTGTCTCCTAAGTCCCCCCACCCCCCCCCCCCCCCCCCACAGTGTCTCCTAAGCCCCCCCCCCACAGTGTCTCTTGTGTCCCCCCTCCCACAGTGTCTCCTAAGCTTAACTCCCAGTGTCTCCTGTGTCCCCCCTCCCACAATGTCTCCTAAGCCCCCCACATTGTCTCCTATGCCCCACCCCCACAGTGTCTCCTGTGTCCCCCCCCTCCCACAGTGTCTCCTGTGTCCCTCCTCCCACAGAGTCTCCCAAGCTCCCCCCCTCTCAGAGTGTCTCCTCTGCCCCCCCCCCCCAGTGTCTCCTGTGTCCCCTTCATGTCACATACACAGGTAGCACTTCCTACCTGTCAGCGTGTTTAAAGCACAGCAGAGATCAGAAGACAACACAAAGCTGGGTGGAAGGTGGGAGCAGGAGCTGCCAAGCTGGTGATTGCTTGCTAGGACTGCCTAGCAACCAATCACTGAGCAGCTTCCGCCCCTGAACCCACCCTCCATTCAGCACTATGCTGCCTCCTGCTCTCTGCTCCCCGGAACAACATCATCATTTATATTCTACAAAAAATGTGGGTAACATATTATGTAAGCTCTAACAAGCAGGACCCTCTGATTCTTCTTGTACCAAATGTATTGTAACTGTAATGTCTGCCTTCATTTTGTAAAGCGCTGAGCAAACTGTTGGCACTAAATAAATCCTGTATAATAATATTAATAATATATGTTTGTATGCACTAAAATTGATTATCCTGTATTTTTTCCTGAAAATCTGCATGTTAAAAATGGCTGCGCAAATTTTGTGTTAAGTAAAAAATTTATTTTATTCTACAGGGCCTCTGTTTAAAAATATATATAATATTCGTGGATTGTAACTAATTTTCTAGCCAAAAAATGCTGATTTTTTACATGAGGAGTGTCAGAATTGACCCGGTTTTGAAGTGGTCAATGGCTGCTTAAGAAGTAAGGCATAGTAACCATATTTAGAAATCAAATTAATATGTGTCATTTTGTAATCAATAAAAAATAATGAACCATTAAAAAAAGTCCAACTTTGCATACATATACTATATATATTACAAAAATTTACCTAAGAGCATCTTCATCCATGACATAGAAAGAGACAGAATGGAAGTTGGGTGGCAGGTGAACTTTGTATTCTTCTCCCCAAAATGGTGACAGAGTCTTCCACACTGTTGCTGTCCTATGCAAAGATAATAGTCACTGTTTATTCCTTTAGAAAATTAAATTAAGCTAGAAGAATAGGAGGAAAAATACTTTATAGTAATCAGCTTTACTATATACACTATCAAAGCAACTCTGAAATTGTCAACTGAATAGCTAAAGTAACAGAGCCTTTCTAGGGGAAATAATTGGAAGAGGCTAGAAAAAAGGAATTCAACTGTAAAAACACCCATAAGTTAAAAAATAACCTTTTTTATTTTCCCATGAAAACAGAATATATTAGTATGGTCTAAAGCTTCCATGAGATGGCAGTCACCCATTACAAAAACAAAATAATGTATATGAATCCAATGCATGGGATCTATTGTCTCTGGGGCAAAGATGTTAAGATTTTAAAATGTTAAAATTATTTTTTATCTCCTAAACCAGACTCTAAAAACTTGTTGTTTGTGCCATCTTGTTTTAAGATAACTGGGAGCTAGTGGAAGCAATGCTGAGTTTGTACTTACTAATCCCACTGAAAGACAACATTCTTATGGAGAACCAGGGGCTCGTAGGTTTTTGAATTCTTAGTAATGACTGTTAAAGGCACGGGCACCCCAAGGACAATAACTGCCATAAAGCTGAAGTTTAGCAATATTTTTTTTAAATCAACACCAGAGATAGTACTTACATTAATGAAGTTTGAACCATGTGTTGGTGGCAGCTGTGTTCCTTGAAATCTTCCAACCTCTGTCCTGATACCCTCACTGCTATGATCTTATGGTGCTGCGAGGCATTAATATGAATAGCTTCACCTGTCACTGGCACTTGTCGAAAGTGCAGACTATACCAATCTTTTCTGCCCCCATGCACCATTCATAGATGTAGTACTATTGATTTGACAATTAAAAGTGCTCTATGAATGGAGAACTGGTGAATGAGTTGAAGAACATAGGACACTCTTCATTAATGTGGATACCATCCCCTGTGCTAATTTTAAAAATTCAATAAACTTCAGCTTTAAGTATGAATGTTTTTTAACTAAGAACTGGAGTTTTTCTCCCATAACCACCAATCACAGAAGGTCTTATTTCTGAATGAAGGTTTAATGAGAACTTCAGCTCTTAATAGAAATACAGTGGGGAAAATTATTATTTGATCCCCTGCAGATTTTGTAAGTTTGCCCACTTGCAAAGAAATGGGTCTATAATTTTATCATAGGTGAATTTTAAATGATAGCGACAGAATATCAACCAAAAGTCCAGAAAAAAACATGATACAATAGTTATAAATTGAGTTGAAGTTCAGTGAGTAAAATAAGTATTTGATCCTCAAGTAAAACATGACTTAGCACTTGGTGGAGAAACCCTAGTTGGCTAGCACAGAGGTAAGACGTTTCTTGTAGTTGTTTACCAGGTTTGCACACATCTCAGGAGGAGATTTTGGTCCACTCTTCTTTACAGATCTTCTCTAAATCCTTAAGGTTTCTTGGCTGTTGCTTGGCAACTCGAAGTTTCAGCTCCCTCCATACATTTTCTACAGGATTAAGGTCTGGAGACTGACTAGGCCACTCCATGACCTTAATGTGCTTCTTCTTGAGCTACTCCTTTGTTGCCTTGGCGGTATGTTTTGGGTCATTGTCATGCTGGAAGACCCATCTTCAGTGTTCTGGCTGAGGGAAGAAGGTTCTCATCCAAGATTTTACAATACAAGGCATAATGTTTCCACCTCAGTGCTTGACTGTAGGGATGGTGTTCTTAGGGTAATATTTTTCTTCCTCCAAACACAGAAAGTCGAGTTAATGCCAAAGAGTTCAATTCTGGTCTAATATGACCACAGCTCTTTCTCCCAATCTTTCTTTGAATTATTTAGATGTTCATCGGCAAACTTCAGACAGGCCTATACATATGCCTTCTTGAGGAGGGGGACCTTTTGGCACTGCAGGATTTCAACCCATGGCGGCATATTGTTTTACCAATGGTTTGTTTGGTGACTGTGGTTCCAACTGCCTTGAGATCATTCACAAGCTCCTCCCGTGTAGTTCTGGGCTGATCTCTCACTTTTCTCATGATCATCCTTAACTCCTTAGGCGAAATCTTACATGGAGCTCCAGATTGAGGACGAATGATGATTATTTTGTATTTCTTCCATTTGCGAATAATGGCTCCAACAGTTGTCTCCGTCTCACCAAGCTTCTTGCTGATGGTCTTATAGCCCATTTCAGCCTTTGACAGCTCTTTGGTCTTGCCCATGGTGGTGAGGTTTGAAAGGAAGAAAGAGATTCTGTGGACAGGTGTCTTTTATACACATAACGAGGAGCACCTTCTTAAATTGAGAGGACTAATCTGTGTACCACATGAGCATATAGCCAGTCTGTGGGAGCCAGAATTATTGTTGGTTGGTATGGGATCAAATACCTATTTTACTCACTAAACTGCAATTCAATTTATAACATTTGTATCATGTGTTTTTGCTGGATTTTTGGTTGATATTCTGTCTATCATTTAAAATACGCCTATGATAAAAATGGTGGACCCTTCATTTCTTTGTCAGTGGGAAACGTACAAAATCTGCAGGGGACCAAATAATTATTTTCGCCACTGTATGTTGATACATAAGGCCATAAGTGTTTAATCACATAAAGCCTTGCATTTTTTCTGAAAATCCTCTGATGCTGAAGAGCTAATCCAGGAAGCAACTGAGAGCAGTTGTAGAGAGGATTGCAAAAGAGATCTACATAGCATCATTCCATTTTTTTAAATTTCCAAATCCACACAACTGGCAGTTCGGTGATGTTACATCTGTCCCTTGTTTTGTGCCTTTATACATCGTTCTTTGTGAGTGTAACTTGATTTTAAAGTTTGTTACTAATGGAAAAAAATTGGAATTATGCTATGTAAATCTCTTTTGCAATCCTCTCTACATGTAACAAATACTTATTACTGAACCCTACCATTAAACCGGAGGAGCGATGGAGTACTAGGAGAAATAAAGCCAAAGTCCAGGATACTCCAATGCATGCACATTTTGACTCTTATTGTTTAGCTTAAGGGTCAAACTCTGCTGGTGAGGGGGGGGGGGGACAAAGGAGGGGAGCATAGGACTGTGGTTTCTGCACCATGAAAAGTGTTTTCACACCTGCACTTTATTATAAAGACTGCACTCAATTTTTCACTTAACTTATTTGATTTAGATAGTATTGGACTTTTGTGCACATGGACACATAAATATACCTTACATAGTGTGACACATTTAGGAGAGGGCAGTGCTGTGAATTTGTATATTACTATTTTTGAAAGCCTCCTTTTGGTATTACTGTAATGTAATCATGATTTAATTTTTTATGTAATCCATAGACAAAAAAATGTAATAAAACTAAAAACACTTTCTTCTACTCTGACCTGTTTAAATAAAATTAGTGTTATGCAGGCCATAGATGGGTCGTTAATCGGCCGATTTTCGTGCCGTTAGTGGATTAGTTCGTCGGCCATTTTTTCATGTATTTTGCGCTTTCAGACTATCGGTTATGTTGGGAAATTTGCGGCCGATTTTCCCAGCAATGATGGCCAAATCGGACGATCGTTTTAATGATAAAAAATCTGCGCATGAGCTGTGACCTGCGAGGGACAGAAATTATGGGGTGAACTTTATGATTTAGTCGGACGATTTTTTTAATCGTTGGTGGTAACGTTGGCCAAACGAATGACCGATTTTTTGTTTATCAATCGAAAAATCAGCCGATGTTCGACCCGTCTATGGCCTGCATTACTGTAGATAACAATTATAGATATTGCTCTATAATGTGTCCTTCTAAAATGACACTAGAACTATGATTCTGGTACAAAGATTTGTAAAGTTATTAATAAATTAAAGGATTTTTTTTCACATTTTTAAAGGCAACACTAACAAAACTTAAAACAGATTTCTGGGTAGAAAAACAAACCCTTGCAGTGGGGCCTCACGCAATGCAAGGGCTAAATGCTTGTTAACTCTAGGAGAAAGAGGCTGTATTACTTTCTTTTACCCTCACTTCACCTTTTCTTCTCCCCTCTGGTCTCCCTCTCTCCAGATTTTATTAAACACTTGCCCTCCAGAGGATTTACTCCCCCCCCCCCATCCTGACCAGGCCATTTTTTGCAATACGATGCTGCGTTACTTTCACTGACAATGCAACGCTGCACCCAAATGAAATTTATGTACTTTTTTTCCCCACAAATAGAGCTTTCTTTCGGTGATAGTTGATCGCCTCTGCGTTTTTTATTTTTTGTGCTATAAAAAAAAGACCCCTAATTTTGAGAAAAAAAAATATTTTTTACTTTTTGCTATTAAACATGTCCAGTAAAAAAATTTAAAAAAATCTAATTTCGTAATAAATTTAGGCCGAAATGTATTCTGCTACATGTCTTTGCTAAAAAAAATCCCAATAAGTGTAAATTAATTGGTTTACGTGAAAGTTATAGCGTCTACAAATGGTGGTATAGATACTGGATTTTTTTTTTTAATATAATATATATATATACAGGGAAGAGATCTGTATTGTTTACATACAGGTCTATCCCCCATTGGTGATGGCGGGGAACCAGTGATTGACAGGTGAGGCCGCCAAATGGCAAACCGGAAATGCAAAATCACATATATATACCTGATTTTGCACACCCCTGCCGCACTGTAGCAGTATTTTCTGCTATAGGGCAGCGAGAAAGCGGTTAAAGGAGCAGAAAGGCCAAAGCTATTTTAGCTATACTTCTCCCTAAGGTCACAGGAGTGCACTTATTTCTGCACTCCTGTGACCCATTTTCAGCCGACAGTAAGCTAAAACTGGTCCAGGCTCTGAAAAGATCTGGACCATATGGTCAGGATCCATCCAAATGCCTGCATCAGTAGATGGATCAGCCTCTCAGCAGTACGCTGAGAGCCTGAGCTAGCCGTTCCCACTCCTTCTACAGCCCAGCTCTCCAGTGATCGCTGGAGGGGCAGAGCAGACAGCTAGTGACTGAAAATCACGGCTCTCTGCTCAGAGCGGAGGGGGAGAACTGACTGATCAGCGGTGTTCAATCGCTCAGTTCTCACTTCATTGGATTGATGCTGCATCCACCTAGGTGAGTATGAATGTTTGTTCTTTTAAAAGTCCATACTTCTCTTTTAACTACAGGCAAGGCTATTAGTCCTGCACTGTATGTGAAGGAGGTAAGTGTGCTATCACATTTGGGAGTGCCCTACGGAGGAGGCTGCAAGGGACTGGTCACAGAGAGAGAGAGAGAGAGAGAGAGAGAGAGAGAGAGAGAGAGAGAGAGAGAGAGAGAGAGAGAATAGGGTAAGTATTACAGTAAGTTGTAAGTGTTACAGCTTATTTCTCTACTCCTAGGAAAACATAAGCCTCTAACCCTTGCAATAGGGGACACATTGCAAAGGTATTTTTGTTTATCATGCCCCAATTTGGGTTTTAACAACAACAGGAATGCAAATTCTACTTTGTATCTTTCTATCTTGCATCTGAACAGTGTTTATAAACATTGTGTAATGCAGACCATTTTTTTTATTCAATGGCTGTGCTAGCTGCTGAATCTACACAACAAATCCCATAACATGTAGCATGCCTATTGTCCACAACTGGTTAAAGTAAAATTCCTGCTCAGGCAGTTCTTGTTATAGGGGGACACTCTGTCTCTATCTCCCAGTTGTTCTCTTGCATTGTAACCCAGTCACAAACGGAGACTACAAGTGGCTGTACCGACACCCATTGCACAGGTATGTTACTCTGAAATTATTCCTGAGAAATGCCATGCTGCTATTGCCGGGGTACGTGCATGCACACAAAAAGAGGCGCAGAAAATCAGTAGGGCTGGTAAGCAACAAATTATATAAAAAGTAATTTATTTAAAAAAAAATTTCAATTGCTATGTGGGACAGTGCTTTAGTAAACTAAAAAGTCAGTGTCAGTTATAGTTTTGTATACTTTAACGTTGTTCTTTATTAGGGCCAGAAGCAATACCCACTTGTAGCCACACATAATAATAACACATAATAGTAAACCTAAGCAAAATTATCATCTCATTGTTCTGCATGCAGCAATGCAGCTGAAATTTGGTGTATGTAACTGATTACCACAGCACTTTGCACTAAAGTTGTCCCTAATTAAAAATCCCTTAACACCCAGCCACAAATATGCACGTGTTTCAATACTTTACATAACATGAAAACCCACTGGTAACCATATGATTTATGATTTATTCATGTTGGAAAAACCCTTGTGATTCCAAAATTATAAAGCACATCCAGTACAGAGAAAATTACATTTTTAGACTTCTTGTCTATGAACTTCAGGGCTGCAATATCTATTTATAACTTTCTTGTTATTTTCCAAATGGCAGTCATATAAACTTTATTTCGGTTTCATTAATCTCCAGTGGCCACAAAGAGGACAACGATTGTAGTTGTTTTATGAACTACGCACGTTGATAGGTAAAGCCAAATGTTTGACTTGGATGGCAGCCATTGACACTGTCTTTCAGGTTTGGTAAATGTCAGATAAAGGTTCATTAGATGAATTCATACGAGCTTAGCTGTAAATGTAGAAAAATAAAGCTGAACTTCAGGCAAATATAAAATGTTGATATTGGACCCAGTTATGGTTTAATTTAAAAAGACAAATTTTTTATATACAGCAGAGAAAAGGTATCTAAATCCTTCTTGATATCTTATGGACTTATAATTGCATGTACAGTAGCAATCCAACTGGGGGACGGGGACAGCTTTTTAAACCAGATAAGCTCTATTGCATTTCATAGAGCTGTCCATCTAATTCTGGCATCTTCTTGAAAGTAGGAGAGAGCAATGTGAAGATCTCAGTAATGTGCTCCTACGGAGAAAGTTCCCAGACCGCATTATATTTAACCTTCAAGTTACAGGTTGCACCGCAGTGTAGTTTGTAGAAAGGTCCTGACTGTAGGACAGAATTACAAATCTTTTGGCAGGTAAAACAGTTTGCACATATATATTTCAACTGAATATTTAATTGCCTGGAGTTCAACTTTTATTCAAGAGGACTGTACCTAATGATGGTCTCATCATCAATCTTCACAATGCAATATGGATCACTGCTGCCAGTTCTGAAAAAAAAAAAAATATATATATAATCAAAAGGACCATAGGAGCATATTTTTTTAAATTGGCAAATCAACTATTCACAGATCATTCATTGCTGTACAACTGTAATTTGCTACATTTTTAAAGCCGGTCAGCTAGCTCGATTCATCCTGGCATTTGACAAGTTGAGTCTCTCTTGCCAAAGGTAGAACAAAATCTGGATTCCCCATTCTTCAATGTGAAATTCACTCTTCAGTAATCTTTTTTCTAATTTAGAAGGTCTTGGTTTTGAAGGTTTCAGAACAGGGTGTGTAAACATTCATAAAGGCACCTATACTTGCCTGGTATGCAAATCCAACATTTCATATTCCTGATATGTTCCTGCTGTACCATGTACTTGTATGCAGAAGTATCCTGTTCTCTTTGTATTGCTTCCTTTGTGTGCAATCCCAGGTGATCCTGCCAGTCCCTCTGCTTTCCTATGCTGACTATACTAAGCAGGAGAGCAAAGCGTGGTCAGCTTTCTAGCTGTGCTGGGAATTCAGCCTGCTCTCCTCCAATGACACACCCCCCATCCTCTACAGCCATTCACTGGGAAGTTCAGTGTACTTCCATTTCTTGTCCCCCACCTCACTGTTCTCAGCTGCAAAGGAGGTCTAAAAGGTATGTGATTACTTACTTATAAGACAGGGAAAATATGGTTTTTATAATGTTTTTTATATCTGTGCACAAATGTTTTGCCTTCCATTTCTATTTTAAATTGAATGGGTTGTTTTACAAAGTGAGGGTTTACATATACTGAAACAAGATAAGCAACCAGGCCCGTATAGCTTTTCAGCAGCCTATTATAAAACAAAGTTCTGATATGCTCAGTCTGCAACCTTCTTCAGCCTATAACAGCATTTTTTATATTCTCACTACTTTACAGCAGCAATGTGTATGCTACCAAAACCTACCTTAGACAACCAGGCTGGACTCTATTGTTTACATGTGTAGGAGCTGCCTGGTGAGCAGACCTAATCTTGGCGATGGTCATTCCTTCTTCACTTACTCCTTCCCACCTACTCTCCTCCTCACCACCTCCAATTATGAAGGTTAGATACCTTCACTGCTATTTCCATACAACCCAGTTACTTGAAATTCTAATAAAGTGGTAAACCCTCTAGCTTCTACTCTCTATCTTCCTAATTTATCATTTACTTACATTTGCATTACACTTTTTCTTTACTATAGTTTTATGTTTCCTATCTGTTAAATTGTTTCACTTTATAAAACTTGAATGAAAATTACTGAAACAGATTTTTTTTTCCCAAATAGCACATCCATAATAGAGCAAACATAAACAGCTTCTCCACTTATTCTGCATTGAAAGTGAACTGGGGGAAATTCAATACCCAAACTTTAGATCCACTAGACAAGACTTACCCGCTGACCTCTGTCCATCTGCAATAGGTTTTTAATGATAAAATGTTTGGGCCTTAAAATACCTAAACCAATCCTGAATTTCATTCCTTTGGGTGGCTCCCCTTTCTTATAATCCTAAAGAACAAACAGAATGGCTAGAAAAATCTCACCTTATCCTGTAGCAAAATAAATCTCATATGATGTTATTCCACATAGGACACCCTGGACAGTGTTACAGCAACCTTGGCTGGGAGGGATTGACAGTCCTAAACCTCTACAAATTACCTTTGGCTGAGCAAATGATTCGTGAGCATAGATGGCTAACTATATAATCAGAGGGCCCAGCAACCTCTTTGGAGGCTTTGGTTGTAGAATCCCACGAATTCCTGAAGACATCCAAGTACAGACGAAATTGGTTGAAGCAGTGTTCCCCAACCGATACATCACATCCCATCCCTGGAGCGCAAGCCAGCTTCTGGTCTCAGGGTGGCGGCAGCCATCTTAACCACAAGCGCTTTAAGAACCTGGTGCCATAGGCACATATACATGTGAGTGTGATGTTATTGCTAGGTTTTATTTGATTGAATAAAGTTGGCTGCTTTGCGCAATGAACCTTTTCTCTGATACTGTTTATTGAGTGGCGGTGTACTGCATGGGAAAGAATCGCATTCCTGGTACTTATCAATGATGAAGTTGGTTACAAGACACACAGTTGGTCCAACCAAAAAAAGCGCAGTGAGATCTATCTAGTAATAGAAGGTCCATCCATTGGGGTGAGTGCAGATCCATGTGGGGCCACCTGGAGCACATGGAAGTAGTCACCTTTTTTCTGTTACTAATGGCACCAGCACCTGTTTACCTATCTTTTAATTTTCAAACAATTATCATTTGAATAGGACTTACTGATACATCGGACATTATTTGTATTTTCTGGTTGTTCATTTATTTTTTACATTTTTACGCGGCAAATTGTTTAATAATTTTGATTCACATTTTTTGGCAGAGCGGTCTATATACACTTTTTTATGACTCACTAATGTGGAAGTTAGACACATTTTGAAGACTGCAGCAGCCATAATCACATTAATCTATGTTTCCTTATTTTTGGTTTCTTTTGGTTGTGCCTGTGGCACAGAGTTTTCATTGGTATTTGTTCTACAAATACTTTTTGTCTGAGCAAATAATTTGTGAGCATAGATGGCTGACTATGAAATCAGATGGTCCAGCAATCTCTTTGGAGAATGTGGTTGTAGAATCCCACGAGGCCCTCTGTCATCTATTTCTTTTGTGGTCCTGAGTCTCTACACCTGTGAACAATTTCTATGAAAACCAGTATTGGTGTGTGATGGGTCATTCACAGTGCGGGATTCTCTGCACCTACTTCTTATTCAATCTAACACCTTTATAGAAGAATCCAATAATTGTGCCCTTTCTAGACATAACTGACCCAGTGGTCATCCTAAGGGGTTACAGCATCACTAATAATGGATCTTTGGTAGCATTTGCAGACCTTAAAATTCCTCTACAACTACCAATTCATTACTTCAGATACGTACAGTTTAGACATGCCTATCATTTTCAATTTGAACTGTCTGGTTAACCCTTTAGCCAACTATGACTGAACTCCACCGATAGAAAGCTGATATCGATAAACAATTATTAAGGATTTGCGAAATGTTATATCCAGTTGTGGATAGTCTGCTGCAGCTATGTAGGAAGGCCTGGGTTGGGAACTCTCCAGGTCTTGATGCTGAGGTCTGGAATGGGATGTGGAGCCAACTCTTTACTATGCTGGTTGCTGCTATGGATCAGTTTCAATTTATCTAACAGCAGCCAAACTTGCCAGAATCTACACTCCAGCCCACTAGGTGTTTGAGATGTCCCATAATCAGGCAGATTTCATACATATTATTTTGGACTGTTCTCATATTCAAGTCTTTTTGGTGTGAGGTGGTTTGCTTTCTGTCTAGGCTTACCACAATTCCAATCACCTTGGATCTTAAATTTACACCTTAGGGGTCATGGAGAACTTGGCCCATTTGATAAACATTACAAATTACAAATAGAAACCACTGTTTTGCAATTGGAAGAAATCAGCTTTGCTTATCCTGCAAGCTTGGAAAGCCTTAAAGGCTAATTTCACCTTAAAAAAAAAAAAAAAACAATAAATGCACATATTTTGCAGGTAAAAAATATGGAGTATTTTTTTCTCAGGAGTCTGCAGAGCATTGCACACACAATCCTGGACAGTCTTTCTACAGCTCTGTGCCCATACCTCTGTACGGGCTGTCAGTTTTGAGAGCTTCAAGAAGCAAGTACAGAATGCAAGCGCACTCATTAGCACCCTCACAGTCCATTGAAACTGTAAGTCTGTCTGCTGTGGTGGAAGATTGGACTTGTAGTATCTTCATTTACAGGCTGCTCTGAATTATGACTTGATTCTGTGGGGTGGAGCGATCAGTTTTTTGTTTCATCTGTGATGTAACCGCGGGAATGGGCCACCTGTCGCAGCCTAATTGTATTATATATACAATATACAGTATTATACATGTTGTGTTCTTTGTGGTTGCTTTTGTAATTTTGTAAAATGTTTTTTGAATTGTCCTGGTTTCTGATGCAGGTTTACTTTTTAGAATTTCATATCAAGTATAAAACCAATAAATGAAAATCTTTAAAATAAAATAGGAGCAAACATGAGGGTCTTTTTTGTCTTTATATATATATTATTTTGTTTTTCCTGTAGTTTTCTTTTTAAGCTCCATGCACACTAGCATTTTTTATAAGCTCAAAACAATGCTAAAAAAAAAACACTGGATGTAAAACACTGATTATAGCTCTTTTTTGCCAGCTTATAGTAGTGTTTTAGAAGTGTTTAGAAGCATTTAGGAGTGTTAGCGTTTTTACAGTGCATGAAGTAAGCATTTTAGTATCGTTTAGGAGCATTCAGCTTTTTTTTTTCTGCTCCTAGAACGTGAAGTTCAAAATGCTACAGTAATAGCCTAAAGTAGTGTGCATGGACACATAATATAACACTATTTAGCTTCTAGGAGCAGAAAAAAGGCTAATAACAGCTACTAGGAGCTTAAAAAATGCTAGTGTGCACGGAGCCTTAAAGTGTTACTAAACCCAGGACCCTGCATTCACCATATCTGGTCTCCCACAGTAAACAACATGCAAACATAATTATTTTAGTAAATGTAAACTGCTATTTACCTTTTCTCATCAGCAGTTAGAGCAGTTTTGTGACCTCTATCAGTGTCTAACAAGAGCATTGGTTAGAGCTTGTAGGAGGAGTTTTCATTCTCCCATGATTGTCCTATGAGGCTGCATAACCCCTAACCCTCTATCTGGACAGCGCTGATTGGCCCTGTGCTGATCACATGCACTCTACAAAAAACTCTCTAGCAATACACAGCAACTGAGCATGTGCAGCTTGCCCCCAAGGCTCTGTTCTATCAGCAAATGGACTGGGGACAGTAGAAGAAGGGGAGGATCAGAGAAGACAGGATCAAACATCCTTTTAACATGATGAAGATTAACCCCCTAAGTTTCACAGTGAGCATAACAAGCAAGCTTTAATGCATATACTGTTTTACTATTGTGGGTTTATTACCACTTTAA